GGTAAGTTGGTTAGGGATGCCACTCAAGGTGGACCAATGCTAGCCCATAATCTGTTTCTCATTTATAATGAGATAAGGAGCTTGTGCCACAATGTAAATATGTATATCAACTATGTCACTAAACATGCTGTTTAGTTCAGCTAGCATCTTTCTTTCTTTCCCTCCTCCCTTTCTGCCTTCTTTCTTCCTTCCTCTCTCTCTCTCTCCCTTTTTTCTGAACATGTTTTCCAGATTTACTCTGGTGAGCACAGGAAAAATTAAACCAATGATTAAAAAAGAAAACTGTCTCCCACTATCAAACCTTACAGACATCATATAGTTGCCTCCTAAACAGTCTTGTGATCTCCACTCTTGGTCACTCTTTCCCCTTGCTCCACGACATATCTGAGCTCCACACTGTTGTTAAAAAGTCATCTTTTCAAAATGATAGTGTTGCTCCTTCATTTAAGTTCTTTAATGTTTCTCCATGGCCAACAAAATTTTTTTAGCTTGGCACAGAAAGTCCTTCATGATCTGTTCATCCTCTAACCTCTCTTTTCACTTTTACACTTTATACTCCAATAGTGTCAGGCTACTTGTAGTTGACTCGATACATCATCGTCATGTATTTTATCATTCCACATCTTTGCACAAATTATACCTTCTGCCTCCCATCTTTTAAACCAATAATTCCAATATAGAAAATTATTATAAAAAATTACCTAACATAGTAGAAAACTTCATATATAATGACTTTAATGGCAGTTCATGATATAAAAATAAACAGTCTAAATTAAGTATTATGGTACAGCAACACAATGGAATATCATGCAACCATTAACATTTTAAATAAGTTGTATGTTTAGTGATTTTAATTTTTTCTGAAAGTAATAAACATCAATAAAAATGTAAAAAGTACAGAAAAATAGAACATAAAGATAACCACAATCCATCCTATCAAAGAGGCCCACTGATAATATTTTTGCATACATCCAATATTTTCCCCATGGAAATATCCATATAAACATATTTATAAATATAATCTTACCCCATTTACAGTTCTGTATCTATATTTTTCACTTACCATAAGTATATTCTTATCATTACAATAGTCTCAGAAAATATGTGTTAATGTCTTCATAATATTCCAACATATAGATGCATCATAATTTATTTACCATTCCCGTGTGGGGGCAGCATAAAAATACTAAAATAAATACCTTGAATAACTGTCTCTGTGTGTGCTCTAAAATAGTTGAGAATTATTGGCCCAAACCCACCACTTTCTGGAGAAATCTATTTGGACATCAGCCCTTAACGACGTTTTTATATGCCTTATCCAATCCTGGCCATGTCTGAAGGAACTAAAACAGATATCTGATAGAAAGCTAGCCAATCAGTAGCCTGTGGATTAGCCTGGCCTCTAAGGCTTGTCCAGAGATAATTATAAGAGCCAATCAGCTTCTCTCTCTCCGAAACTTGAATAGAGGTCCATGGAACACAGCTTGAAAACTCATGCTTTAATTAATATATATTTTATTCTGATATAGATCATGAGATGAAAAGCCTACTTTTTTTCACCAAAGAGTTAATTATCTTGGCACTATTTTCTAATAGCCCTTCTCCTATTCATAGATCATTATCATATGTGAAATATATAAGCACATGTACTAAATATGTCATGTATACATATATAATCCATATACTGGTATATTTTTAAGCTATTTAGTGACTGGGAATTCTAAAATTTTTTCAATTATATAATTAAGCTGTCCATTATTATAACTTCAATATACCATTTAATATATATTAGGGCAATCTCATCAATCTCTTTTACAATTATCTTTGCTCTTCTCCAATGTCTATTTCTCTTAAAGACTAGCGGGGTTTTTTTGGGTATTTTTTTTCCTTTTTGTCTTTTTTCGTGACCGGTAACGGGATCGCAACCCTCAGTGTTATGCCTGCACCGCGCTCAACCAGTGAGTGGACCGGTCTCTATATGGGATCCAAACCCTCGGCGGGAGCACCACCGTGCTCCCAAGCGCTGCACTCTACCGAGTGCACCACCAGGCCGGCCCAAGACTAGCATTTTTAAAATTTTGAACCTAACTGGGATTTTCATGAGATTTTAAATAAATCTATGAATTAACTTAGGCACATTCCCTCTAGAAAAATTGTAAGACTTCTCTATTCAAATTCTCTTTATGTTCCTCAATTAATTTTTGTTTGTCATTATTTTCATTTAGCATTTTTATTCATTCCTTTCTTTAAAAATTTTACCATTATTACAAACCAGATTTTTTCCGCCCATTACATTTTCTAAGTATTGCAAGAAACTATTTTGTATTTTTACCCACCTTAATGGGTTTAATTAGTTGAATCTCTTAATTATTAAAAACATGTTATAGGTACTCCTTTATGTTTGCCTAATAAAACTTTGCCTAGTCTTTTATATTAATCAGTATCATTTTGCTTTAATCTTTTCATTCGTAATAGCATATAATTAGAATTTTAACCCAATCAGAGTGTTCAAATCTTTTTAAGGAGGAACTTAACCTATTTTATCAAATTTGACTTTTTCTCATCTTGTTCCACGTTCTCTAATTTTTTGGCCAACTTCTGTTATTTTGTATTGTCCTTGCTATAGGAACTGAATATTCTTGAAAGGTATAGTGTTTCTTTCAGTTCTATTACTTGCAATTTCTTTTTTTTTTTTTTTTTTTAAAAAAAGATGACCGGTAAGGGGATCTTAACCCTTGACTTGGTGTTGTCAGCACCACGCCCAGCCAGTGAGCGAACCGGCCATCCCTATATGGGATCCGAACCCGGGGCCTTGGTGTTATCAGCACCGCACTCTCCCGAGTGAGCCACCAGGCTGGCCCTACTTGCAATTTCTAAGTATGTAAAAAAAAAAAAAAAAAAATACACCTTTGCTTTTTGAATTTTTAATGCCAAGAAGAAAATGTTAATATTAGCCCCTGCTATTTAAGATCAGAAATGTAGCACACTGTCTCTTGCTATCCCTCCCCCATAAGGTTGACAGATTTAGCAAATCAGAAGAGTGATGAGATCATTTTAAATTTGAATTTCAAATTTTTAAAAATTGGAGGATACCAATTTTAAAAAAAATTTCCTCTGGAGCCTGCAACAGCTAATTTTCAGGTTCTTAGTCTTCAGCATGATATTCCTTTCTTTGGTATTGCAATTCCCTCTTATTTCCCTAAACAGATCCACTTAATTTTTTTCCTTTTGGGATGTAATATCTAAACATATTTTTATATCAACAGTTAGGACTTGAGTATAAGCCCTATGCAATAAATCGGACATATAGTAAAAATTATTCCTTGCTTATCTGACATTCAGACTTAACTGGGTGTCCTGTATTTTATCTGACAATCCCTCTCTCACCCAGACTTTTATACATAATCTTTTATATTCAACATTTGCATATTTTCTTGCACAACTATTTAAATTTTTGGACTTTTTGTAAACAAACTATCAGACAAAACTATGTTTAATTTCAGTGCTCACCAGTCCTTTTACACTGACTTCCACATTCCTGAACTTTAAGAAAGGCACATGTATGGTATGCTTTGTTTTCTTGTTCATGTAAAATATTTGTTTCCTGCATATGTGAGACAATTTCATTAATAAAACTTAAGTAATGAGAAACGCTTTAATCTTAGAATTTTGAAGGTGTTCTTTCATTGTCTTCTGACAGTTACTGTTGCAGTGGTCATCATCCATCCCGTTTTAGTTTTTAGACAACCAGAATTTACTTTCTGCATGCTTTCAATTGTTCTTGCCCCCAGCCCCCAAGGTGTCTCTAAGATTGTTTTGATACTGATTTTGCCTAAAATCTAGTTTTTGTATACTTTTAACTCAATAAAAAATTATTTTCTTTGGTCATTGATTCTATCCCAAATGTTCTTTTATCATCTTTCGAAACATTTTTTAGTTTTCCATTCTTTTTTCTTCATATCTGTCTTTTCTATTTGTTTCTATCTCATTATCCTTTTCGTATACATTTAAGATTATCTCAAGTTTATTCACTACAGTATTCGGTATTCTGCAACGTTAATTCTGCAATAGCCTTTTACTTTGATGTAGCATTTAAAATTTCACTGAAGTCCTTCATTGTATCTGTTTCTTTTTATTTTAGAGGCTCTTTTCTACTTATGGAATTCTACTCTAGCTTTATTGAATTCAGGTTTTCTGTTGTGCTATGGAGGATACCAATTTTTTAAAAAAATTTCCTCTGGAGCCTGCAACAGCTAATTTTCAGGTTCTTAGTCTTCAGCATGATATTCCTTTCTTTGGTATTGCAATTCCCTCTTATTTCCCTAAACAGATCCACTTAATTTTTTTCCTTTTGGGATGTAATATCTAAACATATTTTTATATCAACAGTTAGGACTTGAGTACTCTTACTGACTCTGCTCCACTACTGTAATAGCCCAATTCTTTTCTTACATAATTAGCTTTCATTGTTGCACACAGCTCTGAGTTCAATTCTGTTCTTAGCAGATATTTCCGTTACCACTCTGTTCTACCGAGATTAAGTACAATTCCACTGCTTGGATCTCTGATTCTGAACCAATGGAACCAATCGTGTTTCTAGCAATCACACCTATCAACTTTTGTCTACATGCTTCATACCTTATTTACAGAAACTAAACCTACTTCTTGTTATTTGGTGTCTGAACCTATGAATAAATGCGGGAAACTAGGGAAGGGAAAGGATGAGAATAGATTGTGATCACCTCAAAGTGCAACACGCCTGCAACAGAAGGACGGTTTCTGAGTTTTCTGGTTGACAGAGATAATGTCTCTAAGATATACTATCTCAGATTCGGGGTCATACAATGTTTTCTTATGTTTTATTAGGTGGCTTTTGTTTCATAAGCAATTGAATTTTACTGGTATTATAGTTAATTCTTCCATATTTGAGCAATAGGTTACCTACCAGTTTGAATTTCAAGTTTTGTTTCATCTTTTCTGTGCATTCCTAGGGACTTTACAGGGGAGTCACGAGATGCTGTTTCAGAGATGGCTAGCCTGTTTCAATTCAAACCAACATTTCAGTAAATGTTTTGAAGTCAGTGAAAATACAAAGTTTAACATACAGTATGATTTCATGCACATTAAAATGCACAGAGACTAGAATGAAACAGGATGAAGTTTTCTCCTTAAATTTTTTATATATATTATTGTGACTATGTATTATATTTATAATAAAGAAAATGCACTTTAATTTTAAATACATAGAAATCCTCCTAAGGATCTCCTCTTGAAGTAAATAATTTTTAGTGGGAGTTGGGGGAAACTATAAATGTTGCTTGGGGATTACTTGTGTTATTTACAGGATTTCCTTCCCAGCAACACTTACTGGGTTTAAAAGTTAAGCTTTCATTAAAGCTGTTAACTAAATGAACATGATTTATAAAGTTTCTCTTCTGTGATTACTGTGAAGATGTGAATTATGATCAAATCCCTTATAATACTCATGGCATTTATAAGGTTTCTCTCCTGTGTGGACTCTCTGATGAATTCGAAGAGCTGAGCTGTGACTGAAACCCTTACCACACTTAGCACATTGATAAGGCTTCTCTCCGGTATGAACTCTCTGATGAATGTGAAGATTAGAGCTGTGACTAAAGCCTTTTCCACAATCATCACATTTATAGGGTTTTTCTCCTGTATGGACTCTCTGATGAATGAGGAGATGTGAACGCTGACTGAATCCCTTACCACACTCTTCACATTTATAGGGTTTCTCTCCAGTATGTACTCTTTGATGAGTGTGAAGCTTTGAACTCTTGCTGAAGCCCTTCCCACACTGATGACATGTATAGGGTTTCTCCCCTGTATGGACCCTCTGATGAATGCGAAGATCTGAGCTGTGACTAAAGTCCTTTCCACAGTCATCACATTTATAAGGCTTCTCTCCTGTATGCACTCTCTGGTGAATTTGAAGATTTGAGCGCTGGGTAAAGCCCTTACCACAGTCCTCACATTTATAGGACTTCTCTCCTGTGTGTACTAACTGATGAATTCGAAGATTTGAGCTCTGACTGAAGCCCTTACCACACTCATCACACTTATATGGTTTCTCTCCTGTGTGGACTCTCTGATGAACATGAAGTACTGAACTCCGACTAAAACTCTTACCACACTGATCGCACTTAAAAGGCTTTTCTCCTATGTGAAGTCTCTGGTGAATGTGAAGTAATGAATTTTTACTGGGGTCCTTATCACACTCAAATTTATAGAGTTTCTCTTCTGTGTGCACTCTTTGATGACTGTGAAGACCAGAAATCTGACTGAAGCTCTTACCACATGCATTGCAGATACAAGGTACCTCCCCTGTGGGAACTCTCTGATGAAAGTGAACTCCTGAGCTCTGACTAACGTTACTGCCAACTTCATCACATCCATACAGCTTCTCACCTATGTGGATTCTTGGATGTCTATACAAGTCTGATCTCTGAGAGAAGTATGCTGTGCTGATGGAGCACTGATAGAGCTTTCCTCCAAATTGATTTCTCTTGTGGTGAACACACTCTGAGTTCCAATAATAAATTTCTTCACATTTATTACAGCCACAGTATATCTCTTCCATTGGGTCTTTCAGCAGGTCATTTTGGCGTATCTCCCCAATGTACTCTGGAAGGGCTTCTTCCATTGGGATGTAAGAATGCTGAACTATGAGCTTCTGTTCTTTTTCCATGGAGAGATTTTTCCTGGATATGCCAAGATGGTATCTACCCCCTTGAAAACCATGTAAATCACTCGAGTAGATTTTTCTACCATTGTCTTGAGCGGTTTTTGTTTCTAAGGACTGCCAAGGTATAGACTTTTTATATTTTAAGTTCCTGGGACTTTTGCCTTCAAAAGTCAGTTCATAGTTCCCATACCCTGGTACTTGAGTAGAGAGTATTAACCATTCTTGACACTGGGAAAGGTCTTGCTGAGTTGGGTCTTTGGAATCAACCTGCTGAACAATCTCCTCATAGTTCTGACTCTCATATATCTGAAAGCCAGCATTCTGCCAGCCTTGACAGCAGGAAAAATTTTCATATTCTAAATATCTGAATCTGTGTCCTTGGGGTTTGTAGCTCTCATTCCAGTGTCCTAGAAGAATAAGCAGATAATCCAGTTGTGAGATGAAGTTGGTGTTTAAAAATTACCAAGTATCTAAACTTAATGACCTCCAGAATGATAGGAATATATGTGTATATGGGGGTAGGAGAGAAGGGTTATGACTTTGGCTACTCCATCTGCATCTGGAATTCATTTGTTTCATTCATTCACGTATGTATACATTCATTCACTCATTCTTTCATTCTACAGACATATCTTGAGCATCTACTATTTACTTGGCACTGTAAGAAATAAAAGGGTAAGGCCAGAAATAGTAAAGCCAGGCTTGAAGACTGAGATTTAACTAGATTACTTTGTTTGGAGTATCATTATAAGAAATAAAATATATATTTTATATTTTTCTGTTCTAGAATAGTGTGGAAAAATGGCTGCATTAACCCTCTCCTTTATCATTACCTTCGGGTATTCTCCTACCACACTATCTCTAGGATTGGCTATACAATTTGCTTTGGTCACTGGGACAAGAGCAAAAGTGACACAAGCAGAGACTTGAAAAGTGCTTGTCTTCTTTCTTGCTGCTTTTGGAAATCCTGTGACCACCACCCAGTAAATGAGTCTCGGCTAGCCTGTTTGAAAGGGACATATGGCCGACACATCCTGATTATCCCCACTGATACTGAGCCAACTGCCAGTCATGTGAGTCAGGCCAGCCAGCCTCATCTTAGACCATCCGTCCCCAACCAAATCTCTTCCTGATAGAAGATATATCTAGACAGTAAGAATCATGAAAAATAATAAAGTTTGTCTTAAGCCACTAAATTTGGGGTAATTAGTTATACAATAAAAGCTAACTTATACAAACAGTATAAAGAGATTCAGGAACACAGAAAATCGACTATGTATGGAGATCTGTGCTTTAAAGATAATCCAGAAAATAATTAAAACTAATAGTTACAAATATCTATTAGTTATATTGCATAGGTGTCTTGGAAAATGTTTTGCTTTATCTTCTATTTGTCACCTGACTTAAGAGATATTTTTGAGAATATTTCTTCTACCACCTCAATACAATATCTAAAGAACAAAAGTTTGTAACAAACTGGTTCTAGAAGAAACTAAGTCTGTTCCCCATGAGCTGCTATAACTTTACCTACTGACATGACATTTGTGTAGTTCTCCCACATGACCTCCCTGTAGATCTTTTTCTGAGAAGAATCCAGGAATTTCCACTCCTCCCAAGTAAAAATAACAGTGACATCTTCAAATGTTACTGCCATCTGGTCAAAGAACAGGCTTTCCAAGAAGAAACCTAAGGGAGAAGATGGACAAAGAAAAAGACATTTAGCAGGTGTAATAACATAAGTGGTAAACCAAACAGAAAAAGAAAGAACTTTAATAAGGAAGAAAAACAAGAAAGGTAAAAAGAGACATAACAATAGTAAATGGCTAATAATGTATCCACTCATTGAATACAATCACTATCACAATAAACATTTATATAGCAATTATCAAATATATGGGAACCATTTCACACATATTTCAGGTAATCCTCACAGCAATCCAGTGTCGTAGGTAATATTATCTCTGTTTTGCACATTAGTAAACATTGGTTGAAACTGATTAAGTAAATTCCAAAGATCACAAAGCTGGGACCCAGTTCTGCATGCGTCAGGCCAGGACCACTTGCCAACTACAATTTGCTCACTATTGCTTATATTATTGCTTCATGTTTGATCATTTTAGACATTATCTATTTACTTCTTGCTATGAGGGACTAGATCCTTACATTTCCACCCTTCATTCTCATACAGAGTTATCATTAATTTTTATTTTAATCAATAAGTAGTCCTTATATAATTTTGAATGTGATTATACATAATTTGGGGGGATTACCTGTTTTATTCAATAAATTTACTATCCTCTTATTCTTAATTATCTTGAAAGGCTCTATATAATCTATTTTATCAATTGTCTTACCCCACCCTTCCCCCTTTTATTTTGGAAATGTCATCTTCCTGTTCCAATCTGGGCCAGCTACTCTTCAGAACTCCATTTTCAAGATCAGTGATTCTTCCTCTTTTGTGATTTACTTCCTTATTTTGGAGGAGCACACCCAAATGAGATCAATCGAACCTATGAATATTAAGCCCATGGCCAATGAAAAAAGCAAAGGTGAGAAACAGGCAAGGTTCTCCCCAAGACACACCATTTGGTTTAAGACACAATCTCCAAGCATGGTCACTGGGAAAAATTCCCAGGAATCGTTTGAATCACCGCATACCTGAAGTCTACATTATTCCCAGTCACAATTGCCTGGGTCTAGAATTCTAGAGTCAAAAAATTTTCTCGAAATTGCTTCATTGTTTATAACGATTCAGTGTTGCTGCTAAGACTGATTTTTTTTTTTTTTTTTTTTTTTTTTAAATTCTAATACCTTTTTAGGTAACCTTTTGTTTGCTTCCTCTCTGGAAAGATTTTAGAATCCTCTTTTTTCCCCTGATCCCTTGGTTCAGGGCTTCTTTCAATGGTTGTACGGGCATTCAGTGAGCATTACAATCTGGATACTTCTCATCAGCTCTATTAAATTTTCTTTTGTTTCTTTGAAAACTTTCCTCTCTGATTTCTCTCTTTTAGAACAATTTATTTAAACTGAGTCAGCTATTAGTCGTATATCATTCTCCTGGATGATCTCTTTATGCTTTGTCCATTTTCTCATATTGTTTGTCTCTTTGTCTTTTTGTTCTACCATCTGGGAGAGTTTCTCAACTTTACCTTCCATCTTTTCCATTGAATTTCTTACTCTGGCAATCACGTTTTAATTTCTAAGAGATTATTTTCACTTTCTTATGGTTCTCTTTCTTGGCATCCTGTTCTGGCTTTACAGATGCTTTTAAAATCTTTCTGAGAATATTAATAAGTTTCATGGATACAATGTCTTCTTTAATTACTTTAAGAACACTAATTGGAGTTTGTATTAAGTTCTCTTATGTTGTATGCATTATGTTTCTTCAGAGTCATCCTTTCATCCCCATCTTGGTTTCTCTCTTTAAAGGTGAAAATTTTACTCGAATATCTGATAATTCTTATATCAGCTGAACAGATGATTTGAATGCCAGAATTCTTAGGGAGTGTTCCACTAGTTCAGAAAAATAACTGTCTAATTTTCTGTTTGGGGGGATAGGCGCCTACATGCATCTCAGCCTGGCCTTCTGCACCAAATTGTATGGATGCAGCCTCAGCCTTTCTGAAGTTCATAGGGCTTGTCAGTGCCTTTCTTGCCCATATTCCCATGTGAGCACTCCAGGATGTAAGGTCTTTAGCCCTATGTAAGCTCACTACTATTCCTCCTGTTGTCTTCCAGATTTTTGTTGAAATTTCTCATTTGCTGATGGCTCTTCACTTAATCATTGCAAGTTCATGTTTTTTAGTTTTTTTTAATCATCATCATGCAGTTTTAGAAAGGAAGAGAGATAAATACATGTATTCAAACTACCTAAAAATATTTATTTCAGTGGAAAGAATGGAGCATAAGTTAGTTATGTGACAAATTCATTTTATTTCTTTGATGACATTCTCAATTCTAAAATTCAATTTACAATATTCAGTAAGTACTAGGAATATGGAAAATAGATACTTTAAAATGAAAGAAAACTAAAATGATATCATCATCATCACAGCAACTGCTAAATATTATAGAACATTTACTGTGTAAATAGGGCTATGTTATCTCATTTACTCTCACAACAATCCTATAAAGTATTAATATCTACACTAAAGGAATGAGGAAACTAACATTTAGCTAGATTAAGTAACTTGTACAAGGTCATGTAGTTACACAGTAGAGGTTTTTAAACGAAGGCCTACCTAAGTGAAAGTGAGGGAAATTAAAAACACTTGGTGAAGGGCTGTAAATTGAGATTTCCATATACTGTCATAATGTGTTAATGTACTAGGGCAAAGGGAAGATGTACTGAAATATTCAAGGATTCAAAATATTCCATCTAAATATTTCCAAATAAACTGTATGAAAATCCATACCTAAACAATGAAACATTAATCACATTAACAACTCAAGAATGAGAAAATTCAGGGCTGTATATTTAAATATCTAGTGGTTTATTTGTAAATATTTATAAAACAAATTTTAAGAATTCTGAAGATAAGTTTATTTTAGCACATACAATGCATACATCAATGCCTTGGATTGAATTGTATTCCCCAAAGTCCACATATTGAAGTTTAAGCCCCACTGTAACTGTTGAGGGTGGGAAATCCTATTACAGTAATTGAAAGGTGGGGCCTTGAAGAAGTGATTAGATTGTGAGGACTATGCCCTAGTAAACAGATTAATAATGGTGGTCCATGGACGTGGTTCTGAGGACTTTAAAAGGAGAGTATGTGAGAGTCTCTCTCTCTCTCTGCTCCAACATTCAAGCCATGTGAGACCCCGTGTTGCTGATGTCACCACCAAAGAAGGTTCTCACCAGATGTGTCCACTGGACTTTGGACTTCCCAGCCTCTGAAACTGTAAGCAATAAATTTTGTTTTCTTACAAATTACCCAGTTCCAGGTATTTTGTTATAAGCAAAAAAAATGGATTAATACAATAAATAAAATAAGAAATTTGGGGTGCTGAGAAGCCCAGACTATAGGACTGAAAACTGTCAAAACTGGTATCTGTCTGTAAAATATATGAACTCACTGACCCCTCATTATGTAGAAAGTACACTGAAAATAAAACTGGTGGTTATTGGCTTTGATTACTATTTTAACAAAGACTTAAGAATTTCTTTGCAAAACATGCTAACCATTAAGAGTCTAATTTCTCTTACCAAAAAATAAGTACATAAAAATTTTAAATACTGAATATAAGTAAAAATTGAAAGCTACCCTCCCCCACATAACTTGAGAAATAACCACTATAAACAGTGTAAACTATAAACACCATAAACACTGTGTCCTTTCTGACCTTCTTCCAAGCATATACACAAACATATATACATAACACCACTGATGTTTTTCCTTAACAAAGCCATAATAACTATGCAATTTGCTTTTTTTCATTTAATATAAAGTACACATCTTCCCACTTTGGTACATATAGACCTATCTTATTTGTGGTGGTTTTAAAATATGTCCACAAATTATTTGATAACCTTCCATTCAAGAAGTAGAGCCCAATTCTCTACTCTTTGAATGTGGGCTGGACTTTGTGACTCACTTCTGATGAATAGGAAAAAAAGTGGAAGAGGAAGTAATGTGTGCAGCTTTGGAGACTAGGTCATAAAAAGCACTGCAGCTTTCTCCTTGCTCTCTCTTTCAGGTCACTTGCTCTGGGAGAAGCTACCTGCCATGTCATGAGAATACTCAGGCAGCCCTATGGTGAGGACCATATAGCAAGGAAGTTGGTACCTTCTGCTCTCATTGAGAAATAACGTGTCTTGCCAAAAGCCATGTGAGTGAACCATCTTAGAAGTGGATCCTCCGATCCCAATACAGCCTTTGGATGACTATAGTCCCCACTGACAGCTTGACTACAACCTCATGAGAGGCCCTGAGCCAGCTATGCTGCTTCTAGGTTCTTGACCCTTAGAAAGTGGGTGACATCAATAAATGTTTGTTTTTTTAAGCTGCTAAGTATTGGAATAATTTGTTATGCAACAAAAGATAACTAATAGATTATTGTTTGTAAAAGTTATATAGCATTTAACTTTATGTCATCTAAGATTTAACTCTTCCTATACTAATGGACAGTAAGATTGTTTCTAGTTTCTTGGCTATAACAATACAGCAGTGAAGAATTTTTTTAGGTCTATCATTAAACACACACTTGTAATAATATTTCTATAAGATAAATTTCCAGAAATAAAATTGCCAGGCAGGTGCACTTTAGTTTACTAAAAAATACTGCTAAACTTCCCTTGAAAATACTTTTTAAAAATGCTGTGAATATTTTCCCCACTAGGAAAATTAAAGCAGGACACCTATATTCAAAATTAATAGGTACAATAAATCTATACAGAAAAAAAGTAAAGAAAGGAATTATATAAAGAATAAGTAAAGATAACAAGTAAGCCTACTAATAGAGAAAAGGATACTATAAAGCTAACTTTTAAAATGTAGTGGTATACTGCTGATAAGAGATACACCCAAGACTCATGAATTCTTAAAGATTAAAAATAAAAGGATAGGCTAAACTATAACAGGAAAATGTAGGCAAAAATAAAGTAGGATTTACAATATGAATATAGGTTGAGCATCCCTAATCTGAAAATCCAAAATCCAAATTGCTCCAAAATTTGAAACTTT